ACTGGGGGTCTGGGAGTCTGGGGGGACTGGGGAGACTGGGAGACTGGGAGACTATGGTACTGGGGCACTGAGGTACTGGGGTGCTGGGGGACTGGGAGACTATGGCACTGGGGTACTGGGGTGCTGGCAGGTCTGTGCTCTTCAGAGCCTCTCTCTCTCAGGCTCTACGTCAAGAAGCAGCAGCAGCTCAGTGCCGCCAGGGTGATGCAGAGGAACTGCGCCGCCTACCTCAAGCTGAAGAACTGGCAGTGGTGGAGACTGTTCACCAAGGTAATGACGTCGCCGTGGAGACTGCGGGGGGGTGCAGCACGCGGTCGCCGCGGAGACGGCTGCCCCGTTGACACTGCCCGTCTCCCAGGTCAAGCCGCTGCTGCAGGTGACAAGGCAGGACGAGGAGATCCAGGCGAGAGAGGAGGAGCTGCTCAAGGCCAGGGGGAGCCAGGCCAGGCTGGAGCAGGAATTCTCCGAGCTGCAGAGGAAACACCAGCAGGTACTGAGCCCCACAGTCTGGAGAGTGTATCCCGAGTGTACCCCCACAGCCTGTGTGCCTGAGCCTCAGCTCCCCCTCTCGGGCCGCAGGTGCAGGAGGAGAAGGCTGTGCTGGCGGAGCAGCTGCAGGCCGAGACCGAGCTCTTCGCCGAGGCCGAGGAGATGAGGGTGAGGCTGTCGGCGAGGAAGCAGGAGCTGGAGGAGGTGCTGAGCGAGCTGGAGACACGCCTGGAGGAGGAGGAGGAGCGGGGTGCCCAGCTGGCCAGCGAGAGGAAGAGGCTGCAGCAGCACGTGCAGGTCAGTGAGTGGGGGGACTAGGGCTAGAGCCCCTCCCCTTCCTGTATAGAGACCCTCGCCTTCCTGTCTACAGCCCCTCCCCTTCCTGTATAGGCCCCTCCCCTTCCTGTGTAGAGCCCTGCTCAGAATTGATCTTTCTACAGATAAAGGACAGAGTGCTGATTGAAGGTGCTCGTGTGCACAAGAGGATCACAATCATGGGAGCAGTATGTAGCTCTCCTCTCTCTCCTCTCTCTCCTCTCTCTCCTCTCTCTTCCAGGACCTGGAGGAGCAGCTGGAGGAGGAGGAGGCAGCTCGCCAGCGCCTCCAGTTGGACAAGGTTTCACTGGAGTCCAGGATGAAGAGCCTGGAGACAGAGACTGTGACACTGCAGGACCAGAGGGACAGACTGAGCAAGGTGAGAGAGAGGAGAGAAGGGAGAGAGGAGAGAGAGAGGGGAGAGAGAGAGGATGGCATGAAAGATTGTTTTACAAACTACTCCAAAGTGGCATATGGGGCAAAGTGTACGACATCATTAAATCAGTGTATTCAGAGAGCAAATGTGCAGTGAAAATTGGAAACAAAAGGACCAAATTCTTCACCCAAGGCCGTGGGGTGAGACAGGGCTGCAGCCTGAGCCCCACACTGTTCAATATCTATATCAACGAATTAGCAGGAATGTTGGAGCAGTCTGCAGCTCCTGGTCTCACACTACACGCCACAGAAATCAAGTTCCTGCTCTATGCAGGTGACCTGGTCCTGCTGTCGCCCACAGAACAGGGGCTGCAGCAGAACCTGGCACTGCTGGAGCAGTACTGTCAGACCTGGGCACTGACAGTTAATCTGGACAAGACCAGAGTTATGAGGAACAGAGAGGACAGGCTCAGTGACCACAGCCTGGCCAGCGAAACTGGATGCAGGCAGACCTGACTGTCCAGAGAGGGCAGGCTGTGCTCTCACTATCAGTGGAGAGAAAATAGAGACAGAGGTGCACTTCCTACTGCACTGTGACAGATACTCTGGGA